TGAAGTCCCGCGTCGCCAAATAGACCTCCTCTGTGCTGTCGAAGTGGCCGTCCGCGATGTAGGACAGCGTGGATTGTTGTTACTGCGACATGGCTGTGATAAGCGCCACGTGTCCGGTACGAAATGCGATCCACGTCTCGTCGAGAGCAGATTGACGTGTTCGCACCTTGGCCGCCGTCAGGTTGGCTTTCCCGATCTTCTTAAAATTGTCCAATGATCGCAAAATCGTCCGTTCCAACATCGTCTGGTTGTTGAGGTGGTCGGCCATGATGATAAGGGTTTTCTTTTTTCACCTCCAATCCGGCTCGAAGGACCAAATGTTTCGAAACGGGCGGATTGCCGCAAATTTCGATTGAAAATCGCTGGGATCGCTCAGCGCTGAGCGTGGAGGTGGAAGGAGGACTCTTGCTCGAGTCCAGAAAAACACACGCGAAACTATGAGAATTGACCGAACACTTGGAACGTTTATTGGACAATAACGTTACAATAATTAAGACGGAACGAGAATGCGATGCGCGTTCGATATAATTTGTTGGCTGATTGCAACAGAGATAAATTTGTTGTAATGGCGCGAGGCACTTGCGGTTTTTCGCGTGAGAACCGTACCGGTATTCTTCCAGTTCTGCTGGGCTATCGGCGCAGGACAATACGCGAGCACCGAGAGTCCTTTTTTGCACACCTCGGTGATTTGCGGTTAGACATCGCGCGATACAGGTGCGTGTTATGATTGGTTTCGCCGAATTCGCGTGATATTTCGTGGAACGAGCAGCGCGACGGAATCTCGCGAGACCTCGTCCACACTCGGGAAACCTCGGCCGCGCGACGGTGCGCGAGCGTTATTGACAAAGCATATCGCCAACGGGGGTGCAGCCCGACGTCAGAAGCGCGCCCGAACTTTTCTAAATATCAGACACAAACCAGAACTCACCCGGTGAACATCCGACGCACACACGCACACAAACACGCAACATTGTAAATACAGCCATTAAGAAGCAATTAAAGTGTGCTTTATTTTTGGTTTCACTTCTAAGGATCATGTAACGGTTCGGCAATTAAGTGCGAGCATTGCGCAACCTAACATTTTGGTTACTTCGAGCCGGATACAAAGTGATGCGGAATTATCGTTTGTTTTGAAACCATTATCGTGTGTAACAATCGTTGGATCAGCTCTACGTGCACAGTAGACTGATCAAAGTCGAAGTGACAGTTTGAGGACTCAAACATTGGGATTACACGAAGCTGCCGTTTGGACGCATCATCCAATCGGAAAAGGGAATCATCTCTGGACCACATCAACAGGACCACGACGCTGCCGAGCGGTCATCTTCAGAAGAGAAGCTGCCAACGGAACCGTGAAATAAACTACGCTGGTCCAGAGCAACCATCAAAATGTTAGGTCGCGCAATGCTCGCGCTTAATGGCCGAACCGTTACATGATCCTTAGAATTGAAATCAAAAATAAAGCACACTTCAATTGCTTCTTAATGGCTGTATTTACAATATTGTGTGTTTGTGTGCGTGTGTGCGTGTGTGTGTGTGTGTGATGTTTACCGGGTGAGTTCTGGTTTGAGTCTGATATTTACAAAAGTTCGGGCGCGCTTCTGACGTCGTGCTTCACCTCCGTTGGCGATATGCTTTGTCAATAACGTTTTCGAAAATCACGAATTCCTATTGGTTGAACTCTGAAGGAGTAGGTATATACCTCGGATTTCCCGAGGTTCGTGGTGGAGGAAAAGGTTCCTTTAGGAACAAAACGTACGCCTGCAAATAATTAAAATCACGTGGCCAAGTTTGGCTTGACCGAGCCGAGGCTGCGGGATCACCCAACAGTACAAGTTTATGGCGATATTATTATTTGCCTCGGTGGTACAACGCGACCGGGACCGGTTGCCGACCAAATGTTGGAACTTTCGTCTATTGTAGGGTGTTGAAAAGATTAAAAAGGTACGCTATTGAAATGAAACGAACAAGAAATAAACGCGTACATTATTACGGGAGATTAAATAGCTAAATTGGAGTTCTGTTATAAAATAATAGCCGCTGCTGTGAAACACTACACTTGTGTCTCTCTCACTCTTCGTGTCTTGGCCAATGAGGTTCGACCGTCGACGTGCGTCCTCGTCTATGGTCGTCTGTCTCCATCGCACGTATTATAAAACCTCTCACGAAGGACCTCAAGTAGTGAGGACTGCGTTCAGCACGCGCCCGTCAATCATCCATTGTTTGGAAATGGCGGAGAATGTTGACGAGACACTGAACGTTTTCACACGTCAAGAATTAAAATACATGAATAAGAAAAAGTTTATTTCTTTTGAAAGAATGTATTGTACCCAAATATTGAGCAACATATTAAAAGGGGATTAAATTGATACGTAGGTAAGTTGGTTTACCGAGCGTCTGAGCGAGAGGCTCTCGTGCCGAAGTGCCGGAAGATGGAAAGAGGCACACAGTGGCATTGAGACCGTCACAACGTCGCACGAAATACGCAGCTCACGTTCGATCCCCACCAGGCCACGTGCCGAGGCAGGCCAACCTCCCAGGCATCATCTTTCGAAAAACAGACCATAGGAACGATGAAGATCTAAGAAAGGGTCACGGAGTCCATACAGTGAATGCGCGCTTCAGGTCGAGAATTATAGAAATCGCGGCCGGAACTATACCCAATCTGCGTACAGGTGAAACCAATTGTATTGTTGGTAGAACTAAACGCTATCCGTCTTCAAGAACTGCTTGCCAACGGATTTGGGCACGACATTTGCAGTTCCGATTTGTGAACAATTTCATGTCTCTGTGATCTGGTAAATAGGAAATTGGATGAAATTTCAGGAGATATTTTCAGACCTATAATGAAATATGAAATTTAAATGAATTAATGGATTACTATAATTCGATAAAATGTGGGCAATTTGTTTTAAAACAATTAACACTGGAAGAAACGTGGCACTCAGTTGGCAAAATTGGTCCTTCGTTTTCTTGGACATCGTCTTTATGGACAATTATGATGAATCTGATACTTTCAGATTTTATACATATGATACATTTCTCTTCTCTTGAGATGATTCAGAAATAGTATTATATTTCTTTGATTTTAATAGATAAAGAGACGTCGAGATAGTTTATGGAACTATAATAAGCAATACGACCTGATTACATTGAACCGAGATATCTAGTTCGACAATATACCTATGTAATTTTGTCTCTTGCATAATATGAAAATATTAGGAGCAATGATGGATATTGTGTTAAAATCTAAACTATGTGATATCTAGAAAGACTAGACTGTAAAATAACATACAAGTTGCATGAATCGTAAAATAATACGTGATCTGCCTTCAGATAAAAATTTTCGGCAGAGATAATAGCACAGGTACCAATTCTTTCTTTCTTTAGCTTATTATCTAGGTGATTGTACACTCATAAATACCTATTTTGACTATAAGTATGTCACAATAAACACGAATAATCGGTCTTTTCAGGTGAAGAGGTTACTATCATACAAAATAGCTGATTTAAAGGCATCAACGAGTTTCACTAACTTAAAATGAATTAACAAAAAAACATGGCATTCATAAGAATAATAATAAATCTAATTCGACAATTTTCATTCGAGCAATATTTCCTATATAGGATAAGATGCAGTAATTCGCATAGTCAAAAATATATGAGACCGGAGTGGTTGATAGCTTACCGGAGAAAAGTGTGGAAGGAGTCTCTATTAGACCGGGACCTTCCCTTCCGTGCCCTGTGGTTACGATGAAGATGGAGCTTAGAGATTGGCGGTAAACTGGGAGGGAACGTCCACGGTTAGAGGAAGAGCGATGTCGAAAAGCGAAAGCTTTCTTAGGATTATGGCAATCGTGAAAGCATTTAAAAGAGTTGGTCTGTTTAGTTATTGAGGATGAAAGAAATGTAACTACATCTCTGATATATCTTGAATCATTAAAACATCATCTTTGTGCGATGGGACAACCTAATCTACGTCCTTATGATCTAAAAACAGCAACAGACATACGTGTATGTATTTACTAATAAAATATCCAATTACAATTGGGATTTTGTGTGTATCTACATTATCACTCAATTGTTTGGAATCACTCGTTTACTAACACTTTGATTGTTTAATTTGTAGATGACGAAAAATGATAATTTCATCTATGAAGATAATGTCTGTGGTTACCATACTTCACAGGATAATGTGGATTATCACCTGACAAATAGCTAGTATTTCTGTTCGAATTCAAAGTGATCCGTAGGTCAATATATTAGGCTGAACCTGTGTTTTATTAGTTACTACAATATGCAACAAAAATTTTCAGTGGCTCTAAAAGAATATCAATGTCTGCAAGCATAGAAAATAAAATGATCTTGAGGTTCGAAATTGCTAATCAGTGTGTTATTTAAATTAACAAGGGCATGATAATGGGCAAGGTAAAGGCAATATTAAGTTTAGAAGACCCAAGATGGTCAAAATCTCACGAAAATATTTCAAGGTAATAGGATTTTGGAATACAATAAATTTACATATGACGGATCGGATATTCCGTTGGAGAAACTGAATGATTGAGTCAGTGGCTATAGAGTAGCAGGAATGATAAAGAACTTTGTTAGAGAGCTACCATCAGGGGGTAGAAACTTATGGGGTACGCTTTCTGGATTGATGTTCTACAGTAGAGTGATCTGCGAGACTGTGTCGTCCTGACCCCCCAATTCATAACCTCCTGATAGTAGGACTGGAGGGGACTGTGAAGTATGAAGTAATAAAGATAGAAGTGGAAGATTGACCGTTCTCTATGACACATTTCTTACACATTGTCAACTTGGCGCACCGAGTGGGTCGCCTTTCATCATGATGAGGATACGTTCTGGAGCCAGAGAAGGGCATAACTTTCGAGACTACTTGTCTCAAGACGGACTTTGTAATACTCCGGTGAAGTTGCGCAAGCCAGCTAGTGGTAACGAAGTAACTAAGCAACGATTTCAAGTGTATGGCCACACCAAATTCGCCAAAGGAGGTGGCGAGCGACCGAAATCGACGCTGGAGTTTCAAGAACTGGAATGTTGTCTAGAGAGGACGCACCTACTTCTATTATCTGCGGACATGCAGATAGGACAGCGTACGTTGTACAGGGTGTATATCAGGAAATATCTTCGAAACTGTCGATCACACTGAAAAATATTTCAGATAAGAGTCGGACGGGTTTCTAAGGGGAAATAATTTGATGTAATTTTTTTTGTAGGTGGGTGCGTGGAGGACATATGGAGGTGGAATTTGTTTTCTTTTAACGGAATCGTTATGCATTAATCGATACAGCCCGTTATTCGCTATAAAAATGTATTAGCTATTTATGCTAAAGAACCATTAGTTTAGGAGATATTTTCATTTCTATGCTGCGAAGTGGTACACAATTTCTGTATAGTTAGCACGTGTGACATTTGATATCTCATGCTTACGTATATATCGATAGCATGCTAATAAATTTCGACAAAAATGCTAGAAAGGATTGATAGGCCATTTAGAAACCAAGAACATATTTACATACAAGCTGAAGGATGTACTTTTTGTATAGCATAATTATATTATAAATGCATATGTAAATCATTAAGGCATTTTCAAACCTTCGAGAGAGCACGCGGTAAGAAAACAAATGCCATCGACGATACGGCCACGAGGCGACGCGACGCGACGCGACGCGACGTAGCATCGTGCGCGGAGAAAGCACTGAGTTGCCAGCTAGACGAGAGTGCAGTTCTACGTGTCGTGTTAAATAAAGTTGTAATTTTTACCGGTACGATAATCCTCCATTTTCGGCCCCTTACACTTTGTATATTAACTTTAACACTAGAACTATAAAAGCAGTCAAAATGACTGGTAAGCACACTTTTATAACGATGATTAAAATGTTACAACCATACATTTTCCCAGATTTTTCACAATTTTCATTGTAGCATAAAAATGAAGAAATTAGTTATTTATATATTTGTATATTTTCAAATGTTTGTTATATTTATGTATCGAATAGAAATAAGTATACGTTTATCGTGGGTAGTTCTAGTGTTAAGCAGGCAAACATCGTACATATTACTAGTGACACTTCGCAATTTCGAAATTAAAATGTCTCCTAAATGACACCATTTGGAAAAACAAAATTGACCTTCATCTATCTTTAACGTATTCATCTTCAAAAGACTGTTCATATCAAATTATATTCCCTATGAAATCATTTAACTTGTTAAAACATTCAATAACATTTCGAAAACATTCATGGGGATCAATTTAAATGATCCATTCTGTATATTCCTTTTCGTCTCTTCTACTCATTTTGTTATTTGTAGACTGCGGATCTTTATGCATTTATAGCAGCTCTTAACTATGAAAATAGAATAAAATGAACATTAATAAATTTTAATACTATTTATGTGTTATAAATAACGTGGTAAAAGCCCTAATGTCAAGTTCAAAATTCTGTCCCATTGTAATTTTTAGATACTATTATCTGAAATTGTGAATTTGCATAAACTTTCGCAGTCTAGTTATAAGTAACACCAATACTGTTCCTTTCGTCCTTTTTCAGTTTATTATCTTAGACAATCAACAGACTGTTCTACAGTGTCCAAGGGATAATACCATCTTATGGCTTTTTTTGAATTTCGTGTATATCGACCGAACCAGTTTTGGAACCGATTCTCCATATCATTCGATGCATGTGATCCTTTATGATCTTGTAACCATTTGGGCGAAACGATTCTGTTGGTCCCTTCTGTGTATTTTTTCTTCCTATGGAGTTGACTGTCTTTACGAGGGTATACATCTGACGTTCGATAGGAATGGAAACTTCGTTTTCTATTTTTTGGCTGAGTGAGGATGATTAATTTATCTGAGTCGATGGATCACGACTTAGAGGGTCGAAAGGTAATACAAGGGGATATTCTCGATCAACAATGAACAATCTGGGGGGAGAGAATAGGTGGATGCTGTTGGTCAAGAGGAGGCAGCTTGCCCTATGTTCTTATTTCGTTAGTTTTTATATTAGGTTTACCCTGACTTCTAATGAAAACCACCCTCGAAAAACTTTTTTACTCCTGTGGGACCACATTACAGGATATCCGAGAACGATGAGAATCCAGGGGTGTTTTAGGACGAGTATAAAAACATTTGACAGGTTATTTAGAAGATCATCTGGTGTAAAAATTATCATATGGAGATATATTTCATTCTCTATTCTTATTTTCTTACAACAGTCTAATTTTTTTGTGACACAATAAAGTCGCAAACTTGATACGAAGTAACTTTCAGGAAATTAGAATGAAGTAGAATAGTCTATAAACATCAGTTGCCTAAAATTGACGTTTATTATCAGAATGCACTAATTGAGCTTAAATGTGGTACTGTATCGATGAATTATTGAATCATGTATCTGTTATAATAATAATGCAATAGGTAGGTATTGTAACTACGTAAATATTAAGAAAAATATTCATTTTAACCATTAAAGTAATAACCATTTAACATACACAAGGTTTCTTTGGATAGATAAATTACACTGTTCTTTGAGATCGTTTTAAACTTTCTCATCCGGATCACGAATCCGGAAGCAAAATTTCTCCACCTCCCTCAGTTTTTGAAAAACATGAGCTTTTGAAAAAACACTTGGTTTTAGGTAAAAATTACGTATTCCGTGAAAAACTAAAAAAACGCTAGAAAGTTCAATTTAATTTTGAAGATAGATGAGAGTTTTCTGAATATATCAGTGTACAGACTCCTCTCGATTATTGTCCCGAACTTGGGTGCACGCCTGGACAATAATCTTGTAGGGAGAAATACTTCAGACCCTCGTAAATTCGAAGCCCGAGCCTCGGCAACAAAAGTTGAGGGACAATAATCGTGTAAAACAAACCGGACGATAATCGAGAATAGTCTGTATACAGTTATTAAATTGTGTAATTTCCAATGATTGTAAATGACCGTGAAAGTTTAAAAAAGAACAGATTGCGTACTTTCTATGCACTATTTTTGCATTTTTACGAAAAGGTTTTTACCTAGCACAGTATCGGATTCTGCAGACATTTTTGAAGAAGGAACCGTCCAGAAAAAATGTCGGAACGGTTTTTAATTCGAACAGATGGGGAAAATATCCGTCGGCAATGTGTGCACGGTGTTTTACTGCCACGCAACCATTGCTCGCTTACATCGGCTCTTTAATGCCGTAGCTACGCGTAATCGCCACCAATATATAATGTTTAATTCTTTTCGTATATTCTTGGATCCTAGTCCTGCAATTATAATGAACGTTTCCCGATCACTTTCAGTTTCAAACAATTTCGATGTTCGATGCATGTATACGTATGATTAATTAATATGAAACCATTAAAAATCACACTCAATTGTTTTTTTTATTTATAGCATGTCAAGTTTCTAATGAAGCTTATTTCTGTTTTACATTTATTATACATTATACAGGTGACATGGTACGTATCGTTTCATACAGATTTGTGACATTCTTTTAAGTAGTTGAATATACAAGTACAAGCTTGAATATGTAGTCCAGCAATGAGATTTTCGATTTTTTGTGGTAACTGCATTTTTATACCTAATAATTTATGGATCAATTCTTTCCGCTGTGTGTTATATAACGAACATTGTTAAACTAAGTGGTTTAGATCTTGGTCTTCTTCTCGACATTCGCATTTAGAGCTTTTTACTAAATCCACCCTAGCGAGGGAGGCTGCAAGACTGTAGTGATCCGCTGGACTTTGATTGATTGTAACTATAATAAAGTCACGCGCGAACCCCTTTTTAGAGAACCATGACATTGAAGAGTCGTTGTGATACAATTCGACGAATTTTTTCCCTTTAGTGGAAGCTTGTTCTACAAGAATTTTATTTGTTTCGCTCGTCGCTTCTCTTTTATAACTCCCGTAATAGTCTGTAAATGATATAATAATTATGGATTTTGTCTGAGAATCTTTGATCGCGTTTTTTGCTAATTTATCTGCCGCCTCGTTTCCGTCGATGCTTGTATGTGAGGGGATTCAAATAAATTTGATTTGCAGTTGTTACTCGCTTTAGTATACCTAGAATAGTATACCTAGAAAGCGGGCTGTTTTGCTAGATTTCGTAACGCAGCCATTAATCTTGAATGTATTATAGTTTCTCCAGGCTTAATATTTTTTTGGTTAAAGTGCAAAAAACCGGTTTTGTGGGGAGCCAATTCCAACCCTAAGTTATACACATTTCTTTTTATGATTTTGATCGCTATCTCTAGAACACTTTTACATCTGTTTATCGGTGAAATTCTTGAGATAGCAATGTCATCTGGAAATTGTGACACCGTAACACTCTTGGGAAGATTATTAGCAATCTTTCGAACATAAATAAGGTAATGGAGGGGACTAAGAACGCATCCCTGCGGCACACCTTTGCTTGTTGTTCTGTAATATTCTTCTAGTAAGATGGTATAGATTATTCTTTGGTGTGCCAGGAATTTTATTAATTTTACGATGCTGATAGAGCAACCGAGGGAAGCGAGACTTTACAGTAATATATCACTAAGAACGTTATCAAAGACGCCATACACATCTAAAAAAAACCGCAAGTAAATCTTTGCGATATGACGAAGCCTGGTTTACTTAAAGTGTGAGATTAACTAAGTTGTCAATACACGATTTATCATTTCTAAATCCTGATTGGTTTCTTGAGAGGAGATTGTGATATTCAAACCATAACTGCAATCTATTTTTAATAAGACTTTCAAAACGTTTGCATAGACATGAGGTCAAAGCTATAGGCCTAACACCCTAGCCCTCCGGCTTGTCAATAAAATACAGGTGGTAACAAAAATGTTGGAGGACCCGGAAATGGGAGACTCGTGAGGTGTTTTGAAACAAGTTTTTCCTTAGCAAAAATGTTATCCGAGGCTTTGTTAACGAGATATTAACGAAAAATCCCGACCAATCAGAGCGCAAGTCTGCCGGCTGAGTTCCCGCGGTAACGTTGGCTACCATTCGCAGCGCGTAAAAATATCATGTAATATATGTTTTGAATTCGTCTCGATGTCCTCTAAATATGGTAACAAGAAACATGTGTCTCTATTTGTAAAATCCAAGGTGAACTTGA